TGTTTTATTTATTTATTTCATTTGTATTGACACAGAAAAATTTGTTCCTCAAATAGCAGTTAATATACTGAAAGCAATGGAACTCCTCAAATGATACTAAAAAATTTAAGTCTTTTTATAAAGCTGCCAGCTAGTTTTTTTCTAGGTTTCCTTAGTATACATTTTACAGTAAAAACACAAACATTATAAGTTCCAATTGTAGATACAGAAGTGATTCCAGTAGCTACTTAGTTTAAAATTACTAGCATCTCTTTGTTTTTCAAAATTTTATAAAACAATTAGCAATTTTATTTCTCCTTAATTTAAGATATTTCTCATAGTCATAAAATCAAATTTGCAAAATAAATATCCCATATCTCTATCTAGATTTATGAATTCACCTTACTTAGTAACTAGAAAATTACAAATGTTTTGAAGTATTTATGTGCAATTATTTAAAAAATACTTAGCTGAAATTTATCTATGATTCTTTAGATTTGTTCAATAGAAAGTACTTTTCTGTGTTATACATCTTATTATGTGATAGAAACTTACTAACATTTTCTAAATCACAGTTTTTTGTTTTTTTGTTTTGTTTTGTTTTGTTTTTGCCAGTCCTGGGGTATGAACTCTGGGCCTGGGCGCTGTCCCTCAGCTCTTCAGCTCAAGGCTAGCATTCTACCACTTGAGCCACAGTGTCACTTCTGGCTTTTTTTCTGCTTATGTGGTGCTGAGGAATGGCAGGGCCTTACGCATGCAAGACAAGCGCTCTACCACTGAGCCACCTTTCCAGCCCCCTCCCTCCCTCCACTCTCCTTCTCCCTCTCCCTCTCCTTCCCCCTCCCCTCTCTCTCTTGTGTGGTATACACCTATAATTTCAGCACTTGGAAGCCAAGGCCAGCCTAGGCTACATAACAAGTTCATTGGCTAGCCTGAACTACTACCCTGAATACTTGCCTGTAGGTGCAAGCCCAGAATTCCATACCTAGTACCACTAAATAAATAGTAGTGGTGCTACCAAAATAAAACCATTTAACATATGCCTACCAAAATTAGGGAAAAATTCATAGTATCTAATTTATAAAATTATTTTTATTAATATACACATTTGTTGCAAGCAGTTGTAATTATATGTCAATTTCTATTTTGACATTAACTAGAGATTAATATAATAGATATTAAAACAACAGGTTTAAAATCATGACTCTAATAGTGACATAAGTCATACAAACAAGTTAGAAGAACTATACTTCAGGGCTACAAAAACCAAAACAAAAATCATTAAGCTGATTGTTATCATTATATAACATATATATATATATATATATATATATATATATATTTCGGTTTTTGATAGTACTCACAAACTGACAATTTTTCTTTTTCTTTTAGGCTTTTGAGATAGGGTTTCCTGGCCTCAAATTCATGATCCTGCTGTCTCAAATTTCAAGTATTCCAAATTAAGAAAACTTAATAAAACTTTTATGAAAGGACTAATCAATCACAGGATCAAATGGTCACATATCCACTTGAGCGGTAAATTAATTAATAAAAAGTTAAAAACTATAATTGTTGTATAGCTAATAAGATAAACAATTCTTAGCCTTTGTGTGGTGCTTTAAGTATACAAATGGCTTTCACTTACTTGCCTAATCATCTCACAAATATACAAGTGTAAAGAATAGTAGGAAGCATTGGAATGGATGGGGCTTTTTGTTTTTTTATATTTATTTTTTATTTTTGTTGGTCATGGGGCTTGAACTCTAGGCCTGGGCGCTATCCCTTAGCTCTTCAGCTCAAGGCTAGCACTCTACCACTTGAGCTACAGCGCCACTTCCATTTTTTTGATGGTTTATTGGAGATAAGAGTTTCATAGACTTTCCTGCCCCAGCTGGCTTTGAACCGTGATCCTCAGATCTCAGCCTCCTGAATAGTTAGGATTACAGGCGTGAAACACCAGCGCCCAGTGGATGGGGCTTTTTATTAGGTATTTGTTGGCTAAAATTATAAGCACTTATTATTTGTAGCCATAATCTAATTAGACTTCTATAAAACAAAAGAGTGGTATTTCAAAAAACTATTTTAAAAGATGGGAGGAAAATTGCTTATGTATATAATTTCTTAAAGTAAAAGAATGAGTCACAGGGGCAGAAGTAATTGTGGAGAACAAAAGAAATAGCCCTTAAATTTGCTCTGAAAGATGTACCAGTAAGAATGAAAAGTACAAGGAGATAAGTATGGCTTATATACTAGAATTTTGGTGTGCTGGAAAACCAGTCAAAGACAATAAGTATAATTTTATGTATAAATCAAAAATTTAAATTTACAATTTGAGAATTGTCTAGTTAGAGACAATATCAAAGATACCTATCTTCTCCTAGAAAGCCAATGTTGAATGAGAGCCTAGAAAAATAATGTGCCCAAACAGGGAGCAGGATCATGAAGGCAGAAAATAGGAATGGTTTCAATTAACTCAGCAGAGCATGGAAATTTAATGAAAATTTACTCTAGGAAGGTGCTATGTGACTTAAATATGGTTTGAATATGTCTTTGGAGAGTTCATGTGCTGGTATCTGGGTCTCCAATGTGATGTAAAACGTGGTAGAATCTTCAGATGTGGGGCCTGTTGGGAGATACTTAGGTCATTGGGGATGCTGCCCTTGAAAGTAATTGCTGTAGGGCTTTGGTCAGTAACTTAGAGTATATTGCTATGAAGCAAGGCCACCTCACAAGCTGACCCCTAACCTTTCCTACACAGCTGTTTGTTTCCTTTTCCCCACACAGTGTGATCCCACAAGAGTTTTTTAACAAGTCAAACAGATGACGTTGCTCGACCATACATTAAATAAACTTCCTGATCATATAGTAAATAAACTTTGTTTCATTGTAAGTTCTCAACTTTGTGTATTTTGTTATAGGAACAGATCACAGAAGGAAAATCAAGACAACCCTAAAAAGAGTGAACACAAACTACCTGTAGGTAAATAATCATCATCATAGACATGGAATATTTTATAGTCTACAGGATAAAGGGAATTTTCACTATAGAAGAGGGCAAAGAAGGCTAAGCAATATTATGTATCTGATCATATATGTGACTTGGTTTTTCACAGCTTGTTCTCTTCAACATCCTCATTTATGACAATTTTGTTCTCATTAATAGGACTTGCTCAAGTGTTAAGAGTTGTGAAGACTGAATAAACATAAAGAAGGGTATTTTATGAGGCAATAGCCCTACTACAAAGTACAAACCTCTCAAGTGGCAGCCAAAAAAGAACCTATAAGATATTTAAGAGTCTAATAGATACCCATATATTTGTCTTTCGTTTTGGTAAATTTTCCCACAAAATATTTCTAGAAAATGCTTTCTATTTTATTGCATGGTAAATATTTCCTTCTGTTAAATCCATACCTTGACATACATACATACATACACACATACACACATGCATGTACACATATATACATCCACACGTATGCACAAATACAAGAGTACTGCAATATTTTTCACATTTTAAACTACACAGCCTATGTTCCCCTCCCCCCTAATTCCCAATATGTCCACCTAAACAGCAAGAAGGGAAAGTGGAAAAGGAATTAAAATTTATTCTTATATTTCCAGGGGCAGTAGTTTGGAAGTGATTATGTCCACTGAGCCCAATATAATCTGGTTTGTTGCCTCTGCAACTATTTTTGGACAATGATGCCAGAAAAGAAACACTGAGCTTTGAGGTATCACCATATTTGATTAAATTACTTTATACCTGCCATCTAATCTTGTTCAACAGCATGATTTTAACTGAAGAAATTGAAACATGCCTAGATATTGGATGTCTTGAATAGTAGTATGATTTCCCTTCCTAACAGCAAACGTCCCCACTCCTCTTTTATGTTTCCCTTCTGGACTTTCAGTAACTCACAGTAACTTTTTTTTAAAAAACAAGGCCAAGAACAATTACTGGTTAAACTGAGTCATTATTATAGCTAGGGTAATAATTTCATCTTTAGTCTTTTTTTGGTGTACCATCTCCTAGATTCTGGGAGAGAAAAAAATGTAAACTGTTTTCATAGTTAGCTTTCTACATGACTTATTGTTTTCCTTCCCCATTTCCTCTACAGAGCCACAGAGAGTGCTGAAACCAAATACAGTATACCAAAGGAAGCTATCATTTTCATCACAGAAATATACACTGGATTTTGTTTTACCCCTAATACATATGTTTGCTTGGAGCAAAGAATGGTTTTGCCTCCAATCCAAAGGTCACCTTCTGAGGAAGGTGACATTAATCCTCTTCTTACACTGATCCTTGCCACTATAACAACTTCTAGATAGAAGAAAGATATAAAAAATGCAATTAAATAAGGAATAAATTAAAAGAGAAGGGAGGGTAATAGGGAAGCACTGAAAAGACCATGATAAATAAAATTAACTTCCACTATAATTTAAAATAATAAAATGAAGCAGAAAAGAAGGAATAATAACACAAACAATAAACAATCTTAAAATAAAATATATAAAAAAAGAAATATTTTGTGCTGTCTTTAACAAGAAGTTCAGACAAGATGTTTAAAGTCCCTAGTAGTTCTTCTACTTCAATAGGTAAGTTTACCTGCTAAATAGTTAATTGAAAACTGATAAATATTAAGGAATATCTGCAAATACTTAACAATAGAAACCCAAAATGTATGACTAATTTTAAAGTGCATTTTCCTTTTTTTCCTACTCTGTTGAAATAAAACTTAAAAGCCTATAGCTTAAAAAAACCCACATATTTATATGTTTTATATATATATATGTTCTACATACTTATATATATTATATACACATGTTCCATATATGTATGCTGCACCTTCCTTATTGCTCTAGATAATAAATCAGGAGTTAAAGGTGACTTGACAATCTTTTCTTGCAAGCTACTATAGTACTATTTACTAAAGTTGAAATTTCCAGCATCATAAGCACAGAGAAAAATGTGAACAAGTGGGCAGTACTCTAATTTGAAGAGTTATACATTTCTTACCGTGTCTTTTCCACCTGTGACCTCTTATTGACATGCTGGTTACTGCATTTCTTGATATTCTAGAGGATGTTGGTGTGATTTCAACTTGAATACACCTTGTACCTTCCTTACTAGATTTCAGGGCACCATGAGGCAACGAAGCCTTTATTGCATTAGCAACCTAAAATGGAAAAATATAGTTTAAGACTGACATTAATGGACATATTATTTTACTCTTAGATAAAACAAAAGGTTAAATGTTAACAGGTATAAAAAGAATTTCTCTCTAAGGTATTCATGATACATAAGTCCTCTATAATAAAGAGTAAGAGGCTCAGAAGAAATCTTAAAGAAATCTTAAAAATAATATGTGATGAAATTAAAAATTTCAAAGTATTTAATTAGGTTTCCAAATTTTTAATGATAATTAATAAGAGCATCCAAATTCATGTTAAGAAGAACTTCCTGTAACAAAAAGTTTATTTTTATTAAGTTACTAAAAAGTCTATTTTTATTAAGTTACTAAAAAGTCTAATTTTTTATATATGTCCTTTTTAGTTTTATTATCTTTAAATAGTTGTACAAAGGAGTTGTCATTTATCAAAGCAGTTTATGAATACAATACATCTTGATCAATGTCATTCCTTTCAACATTCTCAGCCATCCTATCCAACTTTCTCCTTCCCAAACTTTTCTTAAATTTTGTAGGATATACACCAAATTCTTGACTCCTTTCTCCCCTTCTTTTCACTCCTCATTCCCTTCCCAACCCTTTCAAATGTCCCTTTCCTAGCATTCATTTTGTTACTTTGCCTTTGCTTTTCTAAGGGATCACATTATTTGAATTCTCCCACTATTTGAATAAATGCATTAGGTGGTATGCAAGTATATATTTTTATATAATATAAAACATATGCAAGTATATAAAATATATACTTGCATACCACCTAATGCATTTATTTATTAATTTATAGGCTAATTCTAGCTTCCACATATGAAGAAAAACATTCAACATTTCTTATAACTTTCAAATATAGTATTTCCTCAATATTGTAGGAGTATGAATCAGTGGCATACTAGTATACTATGAATGACTACTTCTCTACTTATAGATCTAAATTGAAAATTCATAAATTAAAATTTTACATAATTAAGTGAGACACTTACCAGCAGTGGCTCTGGATATAATTCTAGCTGGGCTCTATATATAATATCATCCAATGCTTTTTGAGCTAGATCCCATTCTCCATTGTATCTATTAAATCAAATGAATTAACGTATTTTTATTTTTAATAAATTAATATAACTGTACAAATATGAGAAACTTATGTTCATTAAGGAAAGTAATTGACCACATTAATACACTGTGTAACATTCTACTCCACTTAAAAATGTATTTTTAAATATTTGAATTCCTATTATCTGAAAGCCTATTAACGGCAAAGACAATTTTATAGAAGTACATTTCTTTTCTAAAGAACATGACTATTTATAGCACAGAGACCAAAAGCTAGAACAATTTCAAAGCAGCTTATACTTTTAAAGCAAGTCAAAGGATTTTATATATACATATCTTAGAATAATGCTCAGAACACTTTGTAGTCAAATTACTCTGTAATTCCTATGGCTTTTAATACGAATCTACTACACATTAGGATCTTGTATAGTTATTTCTTTACATTCTTTTTTCTCTTTTTTTGGTTCTGGTTCTGGGACTTGAACTGAGGGCCTGAAGGTCAATCCCTGCTTTTTGGCTCCAGGCCAGCACTCTACCACTTGAGCCACAGCTCCACTTCTGTTTTGTTTTGTTTTAGTAGTTTATTGGAGATATGAGTTTCATGGACTTCACAGCCCAGGGCTGGCTCCATGATCCTCATATCTCAAACTTCTGAGTGGCTAGGATTGTAGGCATGAGCCATTGGTACCTGACTATTTCTTCACATCCTGAAGGTCATTTAGAAATGTACATAATGGATGCCCCTCAGTAGATGAATGGATCAAGAAAATGTAATATATATATATATATATATATATATATATACATATATATATATATATATATGCTTCCCATTTGTAAGGAAATGAAAAGACTTGCAAAAAAAATCATATTAAGTGAAGTAAGCCAGACCCAAAGAAACATAGGTCACATGGTTTCTCTTATTTGCAATAATTAGAATAATCTTAGCAGATGAGCAGAAAAGCTCAATAGCTATGTACATATGATCACATAAGATGACGCTAAGCAAAATGGACTCCAAGACATGGACACAAGAGGTATTCCTTTGTTGTTGTTTTTAATGTACTAGGTGATTTTTTTTGTTTCTTTTGTTTGTTCTTCCTCCTATAGTATGTATTTGATTTTGGTACCCTGGTATTGTACATACATTTATTTGAATTAGGGAAGGGAAGGGGAATGACAGAATGGTGAGACAAAGAACCAATGCAACAGCAATATACACAAGACAATATGTTGGAAATAATCTGTACAAATTGGGGTGAAGAGAGTGAGAAGGAGGGAAAGTAAGGAGAAAAATAAGGGAAGAGGTAACAAGTTTGACAAGAAATGTATTTATTGCTTTACTTATGTAACTGTAACCCCTCTGTACATCACTTTGACAATAAAAAAAGAAAAAAAGAAATGTGCATAATATATATTGTAATTATGAGAGAAATATGATAAGGAAAGTGTATACCAAACTCTTCTTAAATATTAGCTAACTAATAAAAAGTAAAAAGCATACAAAAGGCAATATACTCTGTCTTATGTAACTACAACACTTCTGTTTTTAGCATTTCTGAATAAATTTTTAAAAAAGTAAACAGCTTATCTGTCAACAAAATTAAGAGATGTAAATTATATCAAAAGTGCAGGTGATGATGGGTAGGGCTCAAGTGAAAAAGCACCTGCCTGGCAAGTTCAAGGCTCTGTGTTCCTGAGTTCAAACCTCAGTACCACCATAAATAAAAGCTCAAGCGAAGCTGAAGCCTAAAAAACTGGAAAGTGCAGTACACTCATCCTAAAATCAAGATAAATCCAGGTAATCTTCACCACAAGGTAACCTGTCATGACTTCATCAGAGAGTTGGGACCACAGGGCAACTATGTGCCTAAACCCTAAAGAGAGTAGGCTATGATACAAATGGGTAAGAAAAGTCCATTGAAAATTTTTAACAAGTTCCTGAAAGCCAAATTCTTTAAGTTGTCTCACAGGCTAGCAGGAGAGTACAGATCCTCTAGGAGCACATATATGAGAAAAATCACACTTGTCCTCGGCTTCTCCAAGAACCTCCTGCTTCACATGGAAGACGAAACGGCCAAGGACCAAAGAAAGCTGCACTCTGTTTTGCAGGCCTAAGGAACAGAGTGGCCATTCATGTGAGAAATGTACAGAGACACAGCCTAACCATTTCTTCATGTGCAACAAAAGTTTAAAGCTTCTGGGGAGCAAGAAAAAAAGCCTTTTATCCCTAGGAAATAGGTGAAGACCAACTGTAGCTTTAAGGAAAAGAAAAAAAAAAAGAAATAAGAAAACATCGTTCTCTGCTGATATCATTAGGGGTCCCTTACAACTAGAGAAGGAACAAGGACACTGGGAAACTACTATCTCTGAGACACAGGGAACAAGATACTGTCCACAATGGGCCGGACCAAGAGAACAGAGGACACCATTTGCCACCCCCACCATCACCACCAGCCTAGTGTAACAACATCTAGAAACAAGCAAGAGGGCTTGTCTAATGCTAGAAGAGGGCTAAAAACATGGGGGGACCCTTCCTGAGGGGCAGGCCTGCAGGGAAAGCTGAAACCTGAGAATGGAAAAGGAATATTGAGGAAAACCCTCCAACAATCCAGCTTCTACCCTAAATAAATGCAAGATAACAGCACTATAGGAATTTGAAGTAGTGGCATACACCTGTAATCCTAGCTACTCAGGAGGCTGAGATCTGAGGATCAAGGTTCAAAGCCAGCCCAAGCAGAAAAATCCATGAGACTCTTATCTCCAATAAATCATCAAAAAGCCAGAAGTGGAATTGTGGCTCAAATGGTTGAGCGCTACCCTTGAGGAAAAAAGCTCAGAGACAGCACCCAGGTCCTGAGTTCAAGCCCTGGAACTGGCACACATACACAAAAAAAATACTGATTAAGATATTAAATATTCTAGGGGCTGGAAAGGTGGCTCAGTGGTAGAGCACTTGCCTTGCATGCATGAGGCCCTGGGTTCGATTCCTCAGCACCACATAAGCAAAAAGAAAAAAGCCGGAAGTGGTGCTGTGGCTCAAGTGGTAGAGCGCTAGCCTTGAGCTGAAGAGCTGAGGGACAGCGCCCAGGCCCAGAGTTCAGGCCCCACGACCGGATCCCTCCCTCCCAAAAAAAAGATATTAAATGTTCTAGTGGAAAGATAGACAACATTCACAATAGGTGGAAAATTCAGCAGAGATGGGACCTATGATAAAGTCAAATGAAAAGACTAGACCTAAAACAATAAAGGATGAAGGATGCTTTCAGTGGCTTCCAGTAGACTGTCAAATCAAGGAATGAATAAGTAAATTGAAGACAGTTTCAAAGACATTATTCAAAATTAAAGACAAATAAAAAAGGGCATGACTATGATTTAGTAAAAGTTTACAAAAATATGTAGCAGGCTAGATTTGGCTCACACGCCATAAATTTTGCCTTCAGTCAAGAAGCTGATAATGTACCAGAGAAAATAAAACAATCAAGTGAGTATAATACAAAGCACAGTATATGTGTAATAAGCTTCAAACATGCATACTAATGCATAAGTTATTACATAAGACTGAATACCAGTAATTAATAGTAGCAAAAGATTTCCTGTTAAAGAGACTCTAAAATGCTTTTGGAGAGCAAAAAAATTCTGGAAACAGAAAGATATTCAGCAGATGAAAAATCCTTTTTGTAAACTATAGTAAAAATGAATAAAGGGATTGAGTATATTTAAACATCATTCATTTCATTCTGTCCTTGAATTAACAAAAAAATATCATTTTAGTTGGTTTCTAAGTACTCACTACTTTAAAAGATAAATTTTAAATAATACTATTATCAAGATCTTGATTCTTATTCTTTCATAAAATGCCACTTATCTACTGAGATTTTTAGTAAAAATGAACAAACTATCATATTACAAAAAAGATATACTTTGTATATGAGATAAACTTACAAGGCAAAATAAATTCCTGTTAACATTTGCACCATGAAACCTGAAGAAACTGGTATCCTGTTACTCATGCCTTTGTATTTTCTTACATGTTGTCGAGGATATCCACAAACACAGATTCTGCAAATAAATATTGTTGTAAAATTTATGTAAATTAGGTAATATTTTTAAATTTTACAAGCCAATAATAACAATACCTATGAAACAAAGAATCATTCCAAACAAAACAGTTGTCTATAACATTTTTCTCAACAAGTAAAACTGAAAAATATTTATAAAGTTAGAGGTGTACTGATATATAATAATAAGTGAATCACACTGAGTTCAATCCCCAGTATCACACACTAAAAGAAGCAGAATCTCTTACTGGTTGGCTTACTAACTTGGGTCAATTCAATTATTATTTGTCTACCACAAAGCTTATCACATGGAACTGTTACAGTATGATCTCCAATTCCTGACAGAATTTGATAAAACTTCAGGATAAAAATATTGTTTACATATATTCTCTAAATTTTATATAATAAATATTTACTTCTTTTAAAACAACAAATTTCTATTTTTTTACTTTATGGATATTATTATCTTCATACTGCTGTACAAAGGGTGATTTCAATTCAACATGTCTATTTATGTATACAATGCATCTTAATCAGTTTCATCCCATCTGTTCCCAATCCAATTCTGAGTTTCATTTTAACATATATACATTATTCACCCACTATTTCTCTCTCCTTTCATCCATCCCCCTTCCTTACCTCCACCTCTACCCCAATCATATATGTTTCATCTTTCTGATATTCAGGCTAGGTATAGTTGTAGTGATTTATGCCTATAATTCAAGCTACTTGGGAGGTGAGACCTGAGCAATTATGGTTCCAGGTTAGTCCAAACCAAAAACAAACAAACAAACAACAAAATAAAACAGTGAAAAACCAAACCTCAAGACCTCATCACAATGAAAACCTGAGTGTACTGGTGCACATCTGTCATTCCAGATACTTAGGAAGTGTAAATAGGAGGACAGTGGTCTAAACTAGCCTGATAAAAGCAAGACCCTATTTGAAAAATAACTAAAGGGGGCAAAAAACATCAGTACAGCTGGGTGCTGGTGGCTCATACCTGTAAACTGTAACTACTTAGGCAGTTGGCATATGTGGATTGTGGTTTGAAACCAGACCAGACAGGAAAGTCTATGAGACTCTATCTCCAATTAACCACAAAAAAACACACACACAAAAAAAACAAAAAAAAACTGGAAGTGGAGCTGTGGCTTCACTTGTAGAGTGCCAGCCTTAAGCAAAAAAGTTAAGAGACAGCATCTAGCATCTAGACCCTAAGTTCAAACCCCAGTATCAGCACACACACATACACACACACACACACACACACACACACACTGAGCACAAAACTGTTCTGGAGGCCTGGTTCTGTGGTAGAGTACCTGCCGGGCAGGCACCAGGTCCTATACCAGGTCCCAGTACCACACACAAAAATAAACTTCTGGAAAATGTTGTTGATTCAAGCCAACTTTAAAGACTAAATACAAATTCATTTAATATTGAGAGGATCTCAAACCTCTTTGAAACCAAGAATAAAAAATAAGAAGGAAAACAGAAAAACATATACTCTAAAAGACACTTGTCTTACTTTTAGTATCTAAAGAACAAATTTAGAGAATTTTGATTTCCTATGCCTTCCTTCTTTATGATACAATGGTAGTAAATAATGAAGAGCTACTTATGAAAAGAGTTTAAAACTTATTCATTTATTTATGCAGTAAAAGCTTATCAGAGAGAGACAGGAGAACAATGTACTTCCTAAAGGGAATCACAATCTAAGCATGGAGAATGTATGCTAAGCAAATACTTGCAATGAGCAAGTTCCAGAGGTGGCAAAAGACAAGAATGAAATTCATGTGGAAAGTAAAAGATGGATTATCAGAAAAAGATTCCTCTGAACAGAGCCTTGCAGCAATAGTATTTTTAATATGAAAACACAGAAAAGTTGCAAAAGTAGAGAAGGCATAAAACATCACATTAAAGAGCCTGAGGAAATTTTAGTAGAAGGGATGCTGGGACTCTAGAAAATAAGGAAAGCTAGCTAGTGAGAGTCAGATCATAAAATGTCATATAACAAGCTAAGTTTGATCATGTAGGGAAAAAAAAACAACGACTAAAGGGATTTGTTTTGCTTTGAGAAATAAATCAATAAACATCAGATTATTTATTTGACATCATCCTGAGATGGGTAAGAATAGTACTTAGAAAGATGATTAATAGCCCAAAATGGTTATACATGTCTATAATTCCAGAAATCAGGCTATTGTAGGAGGATCATGAGTTTGAGGTTAGCCTAGACTATGCAGCAAGACCCTGTCAGAAAAGATCTATCAGAAAATGGAAGGGGAAGGGGAAGAGGAAGAGAATAGGACAATATGGTCATTTTCCAAGTAGGTAACAGTTGAACTGAGACCCAAAACATTCTATACTTATCTAGCTGCATAGTTAGCTAATAATGGGATCACTTTTCCTTCTTTAGTAGTTAAGAATGCCCTGATTTGCTTTTCAATTTTCTGATTCCTCTATTCAGGGATATTTATTTTCTCAAGTACACTTCACTTAATTTAACTATAATTTAAAACAAAAAGAATAATGCTATCTGTCATATGAAGGTCTGCCTCCTCTGTTCATTAGTGTTCTGTATTGAAGTTCTGATTTCCCTGTCACAAATCTAAAACATACAGATTCAACCTTACAAAATAGCAGCTGAGTGGTGTACCTTCTACTTCTATGTTAAGTTTTCTCTGTGGTCACACGTATACCTTTGTCAAATTTTTAAGCTATGTTAAAATAAAATCATTTTGGAAGATGTTGGAAGAAGTTACAGAAATTTATTGGTGAGGAAAACTTGCTGTGGTTCTTATTCTCTGTTAAGAGACACTTTCCTTCTTACAGTGAAAGGAAACTCTTGAGATTGTGTTAATATGTGTTAATTAGAAGGCCCATGTCAGTGAGGCAATTTGGGAAGCTTTTAATTTGTGAATATACCAGAACCTTCTTTGAATAAAGAATGGTTTAATATCAGAAATGTTGTAAAATTGCTGGTATAGTAATAGCAAACTAGTGAGAAAAATAGAAAGTAACACTGTGCAACCACAGTCAATACATGTTAGTCATCATTAGGGCATGATATTATGATAGTCACTCTTTTCTTTTTCTTTTGTTTTCCTGAATTCTTGGATACAAGACCCAATCTCATGGCATTGGGCATGCTAGGCATGCACTCCCACTCCACCACTGAACTACATCTCAAACCTTAGGGAGCTACCATTAAATAGATGACACCAAAGTGGCCAACAGTGTGTTAAGACATGTTGGATGTGTGTGCATATATCAAATTTTATTAGTCAGAAGTTTAATATACAAAATGGCTTTCTCACACAAAAGTGCCCTTGATAGAAACAAGAAGAAATCTGTTCAGGTCAGGAAAACTGCCCTACAAATGAGGGAAGCAGATTTCATAACAGAAATAAATGAATAAATATATTATCAGAAATTCAAAACAGTACATATCCAAGTTAATCAGCTAGATGACTCAACTCAGCAGTTGAACAAAATAAAGGGATTTCTAGCTAGGCACTGGTGGTTCAGCTACTCAGGAAGCTGAGATCTGAGTTTTGAGGTTCAAAGCTACATGAGCAGGAAAACCCCTGAGACTCTTAGCTCCAATTAACTACAAAAAGCCAGAAGTAGAGCTATGGCTCAAGTGGTAGAATACTAAAATTGAGCACAAAAGCTCAAGGACAATGACTAAGACCGGTACACACACACACACACACACACACACACACACACACACACACACACACACACACACACACACACACACACACACACACACACACACACACACACACACACACACACACACACACACACACACACACACACACACAGTGGGGGGGGAGGGAATTCCCTTAATGGGAGAAAATTAAATGTAATTGCTTAGTATAGTTTCATCTTCAATACTTTATATTCCAGAATGAGGATGTAATTCCACGGTAGAGCACTTGCCTAGTATATGCAAGGACTTGAGTTTGATCCCCAGCATCACAAGAAAGCAAACAAACAGAAAAACGACTTTAATATATTCCACATCAAAAGGCAAGATAGGCCAACTAAACAGTCATGTATTGAAAGAAGTATCTGACAGAAATAAAATGTAACAATATTGAAATGAATTCCAGGAAATGGAAACAAGAGGTTTTTCTCTTTGTTCTTGTTTCTTTCTCTTTGTTTTGATCTTGTTTGTTTATCTGTATTTGGAAAGGCAAGGAGGGGGCACAGAAATGGAAGGACAAAAGGTGAACAAATGCAGCAATGGTACTCATTAGATACTACGTTGAAAATGAACTACACAACGTTTGGGTGGGAACAGGAGGGGGAAAACTGAGACAGATGGAGGGAAGGAGTGACACTGCAAAAAGAAATGTACTGAATATCTGACTTATATAACTATAAACTCTCTGTACATCACCTTCATAATAACAATAAAAATAAAAATTAAAACAAAGAGCAAAAGATGTTGCTAAAAAAGAAATTATTCTTCAAATTTAGAGGACTCCGGTACATTCTAGTAAAATTTCTTTGTCAAGCGCTCTACCACTGAGCCACCTTCCCAGCCCCTAGTAAAATTTCTTTGTATTAGTGATCAATATAAACATCTTGGTAGTCGCATATAGAGTGATTAGCACTGGCAGAGAAGAAAAATTTGTTCCCTATTACTAGATCTTGTCTTTCAGATCTTTTTAAAATGGTCCATGTATACTACATAGGAAGAAAACACAGGCTATCAATCTGAACCAGGCAGACAAGGCTTAACTGAATTTTCCTCAGTAGAGTGTTTTTTGTTTTGTTTTTGTTGTTTCAGTCCTGGGGCTTGCACTCAGGGACTAAGCACTGTCCCAGAGATTCTTTGGTCAAGAGATCACTGAACCACTTAAGCCACAGCACACTTCCAGCTTTTTGGTGGTTAATTGGAGATAAGAGTGCCAGAACATTCTTTCCCAGGTTCCAAACCCTGATCTTCAGATGTCAGCCTCCTGAATAGGTAGAATT